GCTGCAGTATAGCTCTGTGCACCTTAGAAAAAATAGATGCCGTTTAAAAAAAAAAGAAAATGTTTAGGAAAGTTTCAAGACATCGGTCAGGAAGGTACATTTGTGCACAGCTGGGTTTTACCAATGAAACAAAAGCAAAACCATTCAAGATTACCTATAGAGTTTTCTAATGAAAAAACAAGTCAGTGTTTTGGAGTAGACATATAAGTCCAACAGCAAATACCGGTATGTGGTCAGAGCTGGAGCTATTTATCTATTTGGCAAATTTAACTGATCTAAACTAAAGGTTTAGAGTTATTATACATCATATTGTGCTGTTTTTCATAATGCATTGACATGTTTTTTTCAACGTACAGATATCTCTACAATAACAATAATAAACATCACCACATCATCAAGAATATATTAATGATCGCAAGAGGAGATTATTCATCAACCAACACCTCTGAGGTAACTCTGTGTATTGCCATCAAATCTCACCGTCCCACTTTACACTGCATGTAGCACTACTGCTCTATAACGGTAAAGACAGACCAAATCACATTATTCCAATTCAGGCATTTCCCCATTGATTGTTTTTTTTAGAATTGATTTTGAATAATTTTAGAAGTATTTTCATGTTGCTAATGTTGAGTCTAGGACTAGCGCTTATGGCAAATGTATTATTTTTCAAAGATTCCTTTCTGCTAGGATAAAGAATGGCACTCTAAAATAAAGACCATTTTGGTTTCTATATGGAAAAACATAAGGATGTTTACAATCCTCCAGATTTTCTTACTATGGTTTTTCGCCCTCATAACAACAACCAATCTGCAGTCCTAAAAATTACAATTGACCTCCTCATGGCAGCAGATTCTGGTCTCCTCTCCCTCCTCATCCTTTCTTTGATATGAGTGTGGCTTTTGACACTATATCACACTATTTTCTCCTGGAATCACCCAGACCCATCTTGAATGGTCTCTGGCCCCACTCAGTTCATTCAACTTAAATAATTTTGCTCCCAGCCATCTCCCCTCACTGCAGGTGTCCTTCCTCCAGGGTTCAGTCCTCGGCCCACTTCTTTTTGTCGTCATTATCCTCCCCCTTGACAAGGTTGTCTGGAAACATAACATCAGTTTTCACCAGTACAGGGATGATACCCAGCTCTACCTCTCTGGCAAACCTTACTCTTCCTTTCCACCTTCCTCTCTTTCCAGCATCTAGATGACCTTCAGTCCTGATTGAAATTCCTCAAACTCAACAACAATAAAATTGAGTTCATTCTCATTGAACTCTCTCTAAAACTAACAGTTTCTCACTATTAATTGAACATTCATTAGTCCCCCCTTCCCCTCAGGTTAAGAGTCTGAGGGTCATCCTTGACAGCACCCTATTCATCCATGCCAAAATTGATAACATACTTGTTTCTGCATATTTCCACCTCTGCACTGTCACACGACCCGGCTCCTCCCTCAATACCCATTCCACTAGTATACTGTTGCACTCCCTGGTTCATCTCCTATTTCGACTACTGTAATTCCCTTTTTCTTTAGGTCTACCCCCAAAAAGCACTCCATGTACTTTAACAGGTCCAGAATTCTGCTGCCTGCATCATCACCACGACCCCTTTCCTATAATCACATCACTCCTGTCCTAAAACAGCTCCACTGGCATCCTATTAGTTACAGAATTATGTTTAAGATTCTTCTTTTTGCTTTTCAGACCATCTACAAGCGTAACCCTCCATATTTATCTGCACTGCTATTCCCTCTCATTCCCTGAGATCTTCTTCCTGTCTCCATCTCACTTTTCCTTCCTCTCGACAGGTTACCATGGGCTCCAGGGCTTTTAGCTGCTCGGCTCCCAAACTCTGGAACTTCCTCCCTCCAGACCTCCATAACATAAATTATTTTGTTCTCTTTAAATCTCACCTCAAAGCCCACCTGTTCAAATGTGCCTACAAACTCTGACATCATTCAGTCCATCTGTTACACCACTGTTTGTTGCACTCTTTATTAAACTCTTATATCTGTTTTTGTTGGGCTTTTATTCATGCATTTTTATTACATTTTGACTATTTGTGTTGCTCTCCCTTTTTCCCACTTTATATGTACAGTGTCCTTGGGTTTCTTGAAAGGGACTTTAAATAAAATGCATGATTATACAGAACCTTTTCTACAGGTTTAAATAATACATTTAAACAAAACAAATTACAATGTATTAAATTTACATAAAATATATTTGTGGGATGAAGCTGGCTTTATGTTTCTATATTCATTGGATTTTTTTTGTCAAAACTAAGCAGGATAAGTCCATATTTGTGTTTTGAGAGAATTAACTCACTACAATCTCTTCTCTGTTGTGACATCACTGCACATATTAATTTTTAAAAAATGCAAGAGAAAATTAGCAGACAGGTTTTAAAAAAGTGATAAGAAATGTAACTTATTGAAAGGTTCTTGCACTTGCTTGCATTTTAGTTCTAGACAGATGAGCTTCCTAACAAAACGTTGATAAAATATCAAGTTTCAAATAAGACTTTATTGCTATCCATCAAAATTCATGAGCCGTGCCTGCATAAAGTAATAAATCTGACCTGCAGCTGCAACAATGAAGTAATGCTCATGCTAATGCCAACGTACTTCTCTATTATTATATGCATAAGCTGAAATGCAGGTTTATGTAATATAAAAAAAAGACTCACAAAGTCTGAATAATGCAGTTTTTAAACAAATGCCTGCAAGGATACATGGATTAGATAAATAAAAATAAACTAAGAATGCAACAGATGAATAATGTAAGCTAACATTTTTTTAAAAGATCCTCAAAGCTGAAAATACATCAGGGAACATAAAGCTGCTGTTTCTGATCTTGCTGGGTAAGTTGGTGTACGTAGCATTTGTATGTGGGTGTAAATGTTAGAAATTAAGTACACTTTGTTAAACAAGTTTTTTCAAAATTATGAGCCTGTGTTTTGCTTGGTGCGCATGTATTGGATAATGGTAGGAAACTACATTTTCATACATGTCAGGATATAGTGATTTCAATTCTCATGACAGAACCCCCTGTTCTTCCTTTTTTAAACACTCAGTGATTATGTGGAGATAAATGATCATTCTCTATGCAGATTTTATATGCAACACGACAAATGATTATTTGCCTCCTTGGTATATTTAGCTATATTAGGAAAATAGATCCAACTGTGCATGACAGCAACTTCAAGTATTCAACATGTGGTGATGGGTGTATATTTATACCATCTATAATGCTATACAGAGTCTCTGTATAACATTGCATAAGATGGTAACAAAAAAAATGCTGTTTAAGCAGAACTTGGGTACATTCTGTAGCCCTAGTGCATAGGTGATGTATAGGACCTTATCATTCTGCTTTTTAAATTTTAGGTAAAAATAAATCATTATGCTGTATTATGTTGATTGGTGATTCTGGAACCTTATCCAACATTTGCCTTCATATTCAACTAAAAGGCAGTGCATATAGAGTGTGACAGGGGTATTGTCATCGTTGGGATTTCTTTTTACAAATAAAATTACAATTTTGGCTCTTAACTCCTTCTTTTTCCTCTTGAAACGGTAGATGCTGTGAGGAGATAATTGGCAAATAATGCCTCCAGGCACATTTATCCATACACAAAGGAGAAGAGAGGAAGGCTTTGTGGAACACACAATGAGACATGCACAATTCACCAGCACCTGCTGTACAATCCAAATTATGGAGAGGCAAACACGATGCAGAAGCCAGTGAACCAGATAGCACATGAATAAAGCAGTAGGGAGATGGATGGAGAGGGGGGTCTGGAGTCATCCCTCCCTGCTCATTTTCTTCAGAGCAGGTAGAGAGGCATCCTTGGCTTTAATCAGGCTCACCTAAGCATAGCTCAGCACTGCTGTGCCATAATGATGGATGGCCTGGAGCAACACCTGAAAAGGGAAAAGGGAGAAATATATGCCCTTCCTTATAAACATGGGATTTAAAGAATTTAAAAAGACAGCTCAGGAATGTGTTCAACAAATTTATACTGATTGTTATGTCTTCCTATTGTGCTTTACTTATATCTGAGACTCATAATCATCTTCAGACTTTCAACCTTTTGTATTTTCATTTTTTGTAAGGGCAAGAATTTTGGGACATTTTTGGCATTTTTAAAAGACACAAAAAAACTATGGTATGTATTATTTCTATATGCATCTGAAAGAATTTAATGTACAACTGATTTAATGTCTTCTAAATCAGCTCACTACAACACATTGTGCTGAGGAGTGCCATAGGGCCAGTTTAATCTGTTCACACAGTCTTTTTCATGCTTCATTCCTTCAAGGGCTATAGCCTTGGAGAGCTGCTTTTGTAATTGTAATAAATAATGTATGATTAATATGCCTGATTAAACAGTCTGGGAATGCGCTCCCTGTGGATAACACTACTTCTAGCAGAATAACAAAGATTACTTTGGAGCTTTCCGCTCTTGTCACATTATTGTCTGATAAAGACTTCGACAGCCACTCTAGTTCAAAGAACACCTTTATGCAATCCATCTTCGCAAGTTCACTTTTATACAGGTTCAGAATCTCAGCAGTGTTGGAGGGAGTGAAGACTTTGGATGGTAATTATTTTTTTCAATATCTATCTATCTATCTATCTATCTATCTATCTATCTATCTATCTATCTATCTATCTATCTATCTATCTTTGAAAAATGATGATAATCCTTCTCATTAAAGTAGTCTTTGTACAGCATGATATATTTATATATTCAAACTAATTTAGTTTAGAGCAAATCTTATTTCTCAAGGAAAAAAAAAACAAAAACAGAATAAGCAAACAAACAGCTGCTAAGGTTGCAATATTCAACTATGTAGAGCATACATTGCTTGAGAACTTAAACTGTTGTGCCATGACACACTAGATTTTTGTCATGATTGGTTTAATGAACGAAAACCCACATGCAGAACACTAACGGAGACAGAGGAAAGTTTAACAATATTTATTTAGGAAACACATACAGAGTTAATCAGGAACTGGTTCTGGTGCAGGTCCGGGACTGGTTACTCTTATATCTGGAGAGATGAGAGTTTGGTTAGCCAGGTGGTTATGGCTTGACGAGTGAGTTGAATTCTGATCGCACCTTGAAGAGGTTCTAACAGATCCTTTGAGAGGGGAAACCGGTTGGGTCCAGAGACTGTGGAAGTAGCAGAGAGCTCAGCAGCAGCAGCAGCGTCTAGCTTCTAGCCAGAGAGTTTTCGGACTTGGGTTTGTTTCCTAGCTCTTCCCAGAGAACTGACGGAGGAATCCTGACTGAGATCTTCAGGTTTGGCTTACGTGGGCAGGCAGGCAGATTTCCAGGTTATGCTCATCCAGAGCTTCAGACTTCAGTCGGGTTTCTGCGAGCAAGAAGACAAGAACAAGTTAGAAGGCTAGTTTCTCTCAAGAGGGACCTAGTATTCACTAGGATTTCAGAGGCTCAGGTTCGCTAACCAAACTAGGTCAACACTGCGGCGTCGAAGGAAGGTCTGACTGCTGCTTATGTAGGGAGGTCTTCTGATGAGCTGATGATCCCCAGGTGTGCTGAGGACTCCAGCTCAGGAAGCCCAGAGCGCTCTCTGCTGGAGACAGGTGGCAGATCTCCAGATCCCGACAATTTTATCCCATTATAATTATTACACTCAGTGGTAGCATCACAATCTCTGCAGCCTCTCTCATCTTTTCTTTTGTTTGAACCCGGTAGATGTTTTGTCCCAACTGGCGTCTTTGTAGGGCAGCTTTAATATGCTAGTCAAACCAAATATAATGAGGTCAAGAAGGCTACAACATTATTCTGACAATTTTCACATCTTGTGTTTCTATTTGTTATGAATTTGGGAAATGTATTTTGAAAGATATTAAATTGAATTCTGTGTATACAAGTATATCATTATAATGTATTCTTAATAAAAGTCCAGTTGATGACTCATGCAAAACGTAACTGAAATGATTGTATGTAGGAAGCGATATACAGTAAATTTCATACCACAAAAAGCCTTCGGCTGAAGAAAACTCATTCTTCCCTTCGCTCATTTCAGAGTATATTCTTCCAATATTTTAAATAACTAAAGGGACGCTCAATACATTTACATGATCAGTTTCTAGGGATCATTGTTAACAAGTCATGTTAAATCCAAGAAATGGTGAAAGACAGTTCTTTAGAGAAATGTAAGGAGACAATACCCATGACTCACACAGGATGGGTGATGGATTCGTTGTCTGCGTTGATGAGAAGGGCAATAGACAGCAGAAGGGAGGGATAGAGAACACAACCTCTAATTATTACCAGTATCATTGTTGTTCATAAAGATGTAAGTAATTATTTCAAAATACGAAAGAAAGTGCGTCCTGTATTCATTTAATATTGAGCACCTGCTTTGGCTTTAGAATATAGTAAGTTGGTTTCTTTTGCCAATAAATTTAATTGAAATTAACAACCCCTAATAAATGATTAGAGCACCACAGCAAAGGAAAACATAATTTCATGAAATAATTTCATTTTACAAAATGCAAATAACTTAAAAGGAAGTAAAATCTTCATCATGTGTGTCAAACAGATTCAGTGTCCAATTTCTCTTCTAATCTATTTTATCAGCTCATAAACTCTCTCTACTGCTTGTGACTCAGTAATACGGCTGGAAATCTTTTTTTTTTTTTTTACTCTCCTAATTTACAAAAATTACCTCCATTTACAAAATCACCTGTTGGAAAATTACATTTATCCACTGCACTCCAAAGCTTCCAGCATCAAATCAGTCTCATCGTCTCTTCTACCCTCTACTTCAGCAATTTCCTGTACCAGGTCGTTATTACCTGCGCTTATAGAAAATCTGAACCTCCATTTTTCTATTTGAAACATTTTTTTCTTCAAAGGGCTTTTGTCCTGTGCTCTATAGACCTTGGGTGTCAGATGCTAAGCATGAAAAATTACATTTCCCGCCTGCTGTAACTGATGCTGACAACACCAAAACTTTCTTGTTATAAATTCCCCTTATATGTCAGGCTTCCTAGGACTTCAAGGTCAGAATCTTTGTCCTCAATGGGGCCCTGATGTATGAAGAGCAGAATGCTATTAGGAACTCATCTACTTTTGAGGGACATTCTCTGTCCCTGCACTTCAGCTAATGTATCTGATGGGACTACCACCACAGGCGGTCAAGCGGAGGAAAGAATGGCATCTTTCTAATTTAAGAGCCATTGTCTCTGACAGGCACTGACCTCTGGCAGACAGAGGTCCTTGAACACGATTACAGGGTTTGGGAAGAAATAGAAGTTGTTTAGTCTGATACGTTGTGAAGAATCTCATGCAATCCAATAAAGGAGAGGGTTTTGGGCTGTCTGTTTAACCCCACAGTCTAACTTTTTAACTACCCCATCATCTCTGTTCAAGGCCATTTTTAAGGGTTTTCACTACCTCCTTTGTGAAGTAGAGCTGAGGCTGTGAGGGTTATAGGTGTTGTCTGTGTCATACTTTAAAAAAATGGTCGTTGGAGAGGGCAGCTTGGCTATGGTCTGCCATGTCCAGTAAGTGCTGGGAACAGCACTTACTGGACATGGAAAAGATTATCTTAATCACATATGGGTGAATCTCTCCTCCACTCCATTCTTATACCTTAGCTTGGCACTTTGCATGATACTCTACTTTCAAGTGCCACCTTTTTCTATATCAAAAGAGACTCACAAAAACACAAAGTGTTACAGCAACATTTAGCTTTTGTTTTAGACCAATAAAATAGTTTTAAATTTAAATACACTACTGTTCAGAAGTTTGGGGTCACATTGAAATGTCCTTATTTTTGAAGAAAAAGCAGTGTACTTTTCAATGAGGATAACTTTAAACTAGTCTTAACTTTAAAGAAATACACTCTATACAATGCTAACGTGGTAAATGACTATTCTAGCTGCAAATGTCTGGTTTTTGGTGCAATATCTACATAGGTGTATAGAGGCCCATTTCCAGCAACTATCACTCTAGTGTTTTAATGGTACAATGTGTTTGCTCATTGGCTCAGAAGGCTAATTAATGATTAGAAAACCCTTGCGCAATCATGTTCACATATTTGAAAACAGTCTAGCTCGTTACATAAGCTACAAAACTGACCTTCTTTTGAGCAGCCTGAGTTTCTGGTACATCACATTTTTGGGGTCAATTAAACGCTCAAAATGGCCAGAAAAAGAGAGCTTTCATCTGAAACTTGACAGTCTATTCTTGTTCTTAGAAATGAAGGCTATTCCATGCGAGAAATTGCTAAGAAATTGAAGTTTTCATACAACTGTGTGTACTGCCTGCAGAGGACAGCACAAAACAGGCTACTGCGGGTACTATTTAATGAAGATGCCAGTTGGGGACCTGTGAGGCGTCTGTTTCTCGAACTAGAGGCTCTAATGTACTTATCTTCTTGCTCAGTTGTGCAACGCGGCCTCCCACTTCTTTTTCTACTCTGGTTAGAGCCTGTTTGTAGAGTGTATTTCTTTAAAGATCAGACTAGTTTAAAGTTATCTTCATTGAAAAGTACAGTGCTTTTTCTTCAAAAATAAGGACATTTCAATGTGACCCCAAACTTTTCAACGGTAGTGTATATTAAGCTTGAATTTAATATAATTTTCATTATATTTAAGATGTGTTTAAGTTGTTTGGTATTCTATGGTTTTCTTTTCTGGTAGATGGTAAGCTTTTGGTTTGGGAAAAAGCTATCCACCCTGATGGTGATGCCAGAGGACATTGTGCCCAGGTTTATATTAAATCTCCCTGAGAAGGAAAGGAGCCTGCCCAAGCCTGAAAACTGGGGTCTAGTCAAAATCATGTCTAGGAGGCTAGATGTACACAGTTTTACTGAAGCACTAGTGAAGTGCCAAAAAAAGTGGTAAAGCTAGTAAGATGGTGACACTACAAGGCAAAGAATAAAGGAAACAAAACACCAGTTCAGATGTCAAAAATATAGCAAGACACGTCAGCAATTTGACAAAAATGCCTTCACAAGTGATGAGACTAGTAAAATCCTAAACCAGGAGTCGGCAACCCAAACTTCTCAAAGAGCCATATTGGACCAAAAAAAACAAAAAAATAAATCTTTCTGGAGCCACAAAAAAGTCTTATATATGCCTCGTATGGCAACACGGGCTCTAAGTGTTATATCCCACTATAGAAAAGGACTATGTGGGCTTCAATATATAATAAGCATTCATGATTAAATGTTTATCCTGGAACAAATGTCAAATAGCAGCATGAGGTGAGGGAGGAGCAGTTAACACTTTTACTGCGCACTACTTCTCCGCCCTTCACCACGCGGTTAAGGTTTTGTTGAATTGATCAAAATATAGAAACACGATAAAGAAATCTTTCTATGGTGGACACGTTTCTGTTGGGAGGAGTTGATTAAGTCATGAGGAACCAATCAGGAACTGACACCCATCAGAGCAGAGCTCTCTAACCCTAAAATCCCACATCCTCCATCACCATCGTTACTTGGTGGGATTTATATTTTTAGGATTTGGGGAAAAAATGTAAGAAAGTTCACATACCCGCATCAGAGTGCTACCTGTTCGATCTGTGGATGCTTTTTTATCCTTGCAATAAAACTAGCAGCAGCAGTGGAGTTTGGAGATGCAATCCACTTCTTAAATCTATCTTTGTGCTCCTCTAATTTATCCAGAAGTTCTGCAACCGCAATTTTTTTCTCACTCCTAACTTGGCGGTCGACTTCATCTTTAGCTTGCCTTCCCTGGAAATGCCTTTCAAAATGTTTTATTTTTTGACATCTCGTTACAAAGCAAAAAATGCAGGCAATCCTGCATTGATAATGAAAGCAATGATTCGCTCCATTCTTCTTTGAATCCTCTTTTATCATTAGGTATCTTCCTTTTTTCCCTTTGGAATCCATGGTCCGAGACACACCCACCCCTTTGTTTGCCTGGCACTGCTCCATGCTGGTTGCAAGTTATGACCACTGATCTCTATGACGCAAATTATTGTCTAAATTTATTTATTATACAAATGTTTACAGCATTGGAAAACATAATAATTTTTTTTTTTTTACCTCTTGCACACCATATTAAAACAAACAAAAAAATTTATTTTCATACATTTTTGAACAAGCTCTAGGGAGCTGCAAGGGGGATGCTAAAGAGCTGCATGCGGCTCCGGGGCCGTGGGTTGCCGAGCCCTGTCCTAAACAGTTGGCAACTACAGCAGCAAATTTGACTCTGAATGTCATTACAGCCAAACACTTTGATTTCAATTTCATTAAACCATAGGACAACCTTTAAAAGGGATTATTTTGGTCTCAGTTGATGCCAAACAGAGATAAAATGTTAGTGTTAACACAAGTTATATGTCTGTAGGTAATATGACAACTATATAAATAATAATCGGATGGAAGCTCCTGCATTAGGAAAAAGTCCATCGATCCATCCATTTTCTGCAAACATGTTGAATTTTCTCCTGACTGCCATGGGCAAATTGCTCAGGGTGCATGCGCAAAGAAGGATTCTTCTTTTTATTTTTCCTCTCAGATGTAAACACAGCAGCATGGCAGGGATGCAATGAGCGAAATTCTGTTCTGTCTGTAAAATCGACAGACC